TGTCAATGAGGAGTTACATCAACAACACTCCACACCTCAATAACAACCATCAACCAACACATCTTCAACCATTTTTTAACCACATTTCATTGCTACTTTTACTTCTCATACATCCATAAGGTATTTCAGCAAAATAATGAGGTAGTTTGCTCTTTCTTTCCTCACCTCTCCCCATTTATCCGGACTTGGGACCGGCATGTAGTTGTTGCCAACTACAAGGCTGGGTTATTTCTCATACATACAACATCTAGTATTTCATTTGGCAATTTAACTACTTGACATATTACTGCTACTCTAACTATACTATATTTGGCATTGTGATTGATTGTTTATACTGGATTTAAATTTTCTATCTAATAATTTATCTATAACTACATAAACCGCTTTGTAAATATTTTATTTTAAGATACATTCTTAGGGATGAACACAAATTATTCCTAATTCCGTAATTTATTTCTAAAAAAATTACACATTCATCAGCAGTGGCATGAGCAACGATATTAACAATTATACAATGTCATTGCTTGTTTATTTAATTTGTTTGCATAATAACGACAGCTACTAACAAAGAATAAAACAAACAAACAAACCAGCTAAAACCAACCAACCAACCAAATAACGAACGAACGAACAAACAAAACAAAACAAACAAACAAAATAGCGATATCTTTCTTCGCAGCGGTCTAAAATTATTTTGTACCTTGCGTTAGTATTTTATCACCTATGAAAATATAAAAGAATGGGAGTCCTATGTATGCATGGATGGCTACAACAACGAAGACGACGACGATGATGTTTCAATAGATACATGTCGATAAATATGTGACTGTATATTTATGTATAAAGTATAGGTATGTATGTATATATATAATGTAAATAGATATAATAGATGTAATTATTTCTCCCCCCCACTTGTATATATGTATAGAGAATGTAAATATAAATATAATTTCAACCATTTGTCCCCCAAATAATAAATTTTTGCTCTGGCGATAAGTAAGGAGAGTAATTAAACGTGTACTTAACATATGTACGTTGTGTAGATGTTTGGATGTATGCAATGTATTTATGCCTGCACTTTTGCAAGTACATAAAATATTTTATAATTCAAGTTCTTCAATAGGTGTTTGCTTTATCGTCAGCTGGCTTGAGGTCGTGCTTTCTTTATGTTTGATGCATTTCTGGGTGAGGGTGAGGTGAGTTGATGGGCAAAATAGGGCTTCAGATATGTAGTAGGTGGATGTGTTTGTGTGTGTGTATTTGTGTGTGTGTATTTGTGTGTGTGTATTTGTGTGTGTGTATTTGTGTGTGTATTTATGTGCGTATTTGTGTTTGTGTGTGTGTGCACGCAGCAAAAATGATTGTGTTACTTAAAAAAAAATGGTAGATGATTTTGTGAAGTTGTAAAAGCATTTTAAAAAGTTTTGGAAAGATGAAGTGGAAGAAAAGGAAGAAAAACGATAGACGATGGATGGTATAATGTCATCCAAACAACATATTAATATGAAGAACGGTCCTCCAGTTATTATTATGACAATAAATGCGAG